AATGTGCTTCCCCCCTCCCTCCCTTTAATCTTTGTGAGAACTAGAGAAGGTCATGTCTGAGATGTTTTTCTCAGGTTACAGTTCTGTCCCTGATTCGGGTTTCTTTTATCTGACTGCTATCTTGGTAGCAGCTCTTCCTCCTGTCCTTTAAGGTCATTCATTCTGCCCATTAACATGGTCACCCACCAGAGACATCTAGGAAGCCCACAAATTATACCACCAAAATTTGGAAGCATAATTTCCAATATTATTTTTTGGAAAAAAGATGCAAAATATTCTTAACATGCCTATATCAATATTACAGAAAACCACCCCACTCCAAAGACCCCAATATTTTGATATTACCATCACTGCCATGCTCTCTACAGCATTCAGACAAGCTAAAATAATTAAAAATTGCCAACTCCTACACTTACTTCTATCAAGATTACTAGCCTGTTGTCCAAACTGCAGCAAGCCCAAATTAAATTTAAGGCTCTTTATCTCAACCACAATCTGAACTCAGGGTCTGTAAAACGGCAATAATTATCTCAGCCATGAGTTCAGAAGCCATCTGAACCCAGACAGGGAAGTTAAACAATAAATAATTACTCTTCTGAGTTATGGATGGTTAGGTGGCAGGAACAACCTCTAACCAGCACTCTTATTACAAAATCTTCACAACTCCCAACAAAGCTCCACCCCCCACAGGAATCCTGGTCTTTTTTTTTAAGAAGAGAGAAAAGAGAAAAGAGAAAAGAAAAGAAAGCTTGATTAAAAAATAGCACTTCTCACTTCACAAAAGTTGGCTATAGTCCAAATCAATCCACAAGCTAGAGGTCCAAATAACCAGTGATTTGATCGTCTACTTTTTATTCAGCAGAAAACTGTTACCCATGATTAACCTAAACCATGCATAGGTGTATTCTACAAACTTGTCCAATAGCTATGGCATCTGCATCTGTGTGAGGATGACATCACACAAAATGCCATGACTTGTGTTAGACGTCAGGACACAAGTACTTAATCATTGCATTTATGTAATAATGTCACAATATGAATGTCATTATGGTGTCATCACAATTTGCTTTGGACACTGTAAGCTAGATACACATATCACATTAAGCCATAACACAGTTTGCTGGTTTAGCTTAACATATTGTGTGAACCCTGCTACAGAGATTCATAAACCATGCTTAAAAGTTTAGCATGATTTATAAACCCAGCCAATATATCTTTTAGTAACTTGCAACAAAGGATAAGAGATTATACAAACTTTTAACTTGAAAAATTAAGCACTTTTAATTTTATCCAGTTAGATCAGAGGTTGTCAACATGTTGCCTGTTAAATGTTTTGGACTAAATTTCAACAATTCCTGACAATTGTTCAGGCTGGCTAAGACTCTTAGAACTTGTAACTCAAAAGCTGAGGGAGTCAGTATTTATAATCCTAGCTGAATAAGCATTGCACTTGCAAACAGGTACTACATACAATCATTGGGAGTCGGGCGGCATAGAAATTTAAAAATAACAACTACTGCCAAGTAGAAAAATAAGTGATACTGCTGAATAGTTGTTCAGGAAAGGAGCCAAATATTTTTTCTCAAATAGCTAAATGGCAATCACACCAAAACAGAATACAATGCCACTAATAGTATCTTCTAATAAAACATTACCTTAATTTGCTAAGTACTGGATCCTTCAGCATTTTTTTTCCTGAAAGGAACAGAAGTTTGTTAGCAGTAGTCGCACGTATCATCAAAGAGAAATGAATAGAAGCATTATTTTGACATTATTGGCAAAGGAAACTGGCAGTCAGTCTGCGTATGGACAACATGCTTAATTATGATTCTCTCCCCTCAGCATAAAAATTTAGAACATGTTATATATTATGTCATTGACAATGTTTTTATTATGTGAATGGGGATTATTTGGAGTTTTTTTGGCAAGAAACTTACCTGTTTTTGAAAAAATAAACTAGTTTTAATAAAGATTTTAAAATTACAAAATAGTAATTACACTGCATGTAGATAGGAATAATTAGTATTTGGCTCTTTTTTTACTTTTATGTTCTGTAATGTCTCAGTGTGTGGAGGTTATCTTTATTTAAGTATCAATGCACTCTGAACATGCACTCTTAGAAACCTACACTCATTACTCGCTTCTTCATAGAGCAGTCCTTAGAACAGGCTTAAATACAGCTTGAAACTTCTCAGCATCTGACAAACTCTGTCAGATTTAAGTATCTGCAGTTACTGCCATTTTAAGGCATTTTGAAGCAAATCACATGACTGACTTCCTCCCTTTTTCACTGTTATTGCTTTATTTATCTACTCGTCTAAGGTAGGAGAACTGAAAGGTTTACATTCTATTTTGTGACCTTCAGTTGGCCTAATAAAATATATAGCTTTTAAATGGATTTGGGATTCTCTTTCCTATGTTCACTTATTCATTCATTCATTCACTCTGCTTATAAACCACTGAATCAATAGACTCGTGGAGATTTACAAAACAATCAACAAAACCATCCATAATACTTGAAACATCTACAGCAAGTATATTTTCAGCAGCTTTTAGACTATTAGAAAAGATGGAGCAATCCTTAACTCTGTATTAGACTTTAGCTCCATCACATTCAGCATACAACCGCGTCAACTAAAAAAAAAAATAATACCTCACAGCTGGCAACTTGGGCAAAATCCTCTTTACTCTACCTCCTGCATCCCAGGCACAGTAAAGAAACCACAAACACGTACCTGTCAAAATCTTAGGCAAGGAGATTACACTAATGGGCTAAAGAGCGGGTGTATTTCCCAAAAATGCAAAAACTCAACTGTTCAAAACATTAGCCTGACATCAATTGACACAACATATTGGGCCAATTCCACTTTCTGGTTAATAGTTAGTTTGACTGGCTACAGCAGGGACAGTTTCTGGGTTTTCATTGGCTGTTTCATTACGAACTATAGTGACGTGACTAGGATTAGAACCACTGAGTATGAAGATGGGGAAAAGATGATTCTCCTTCCACTTTTGTGTCCGTTGGATGATGAAAAGTGAAGGAAAAAAAGAGTTTGAAGTTAGAGTACCCCATGCTCCAGCTACTCTAACCTACTTTCTGTCTTCTAGACCCAGTAGTGGGACAATAGAGTGGCTGCACCATAGGTTACTCTAGCTTCAATCTTTTTTTCCTCCAGTTCATCCATGAGCTAGGTTCAGGTAACATACTAGGTCCAGTTGTCTGAATAAGTTGAGCAAATGCAGCCTATGTATACAGTGCATTCGGAGAGTATTCAGACCTTCTTCAC